GGGGGGGGGGGGGGGGGGGGGGGGGGGGGGGGGCGGGACGTGCGCATCATGCCTACCGTGCCGAGGTCGATGGTTGCAAGGTGTGCGGGCATGGTCGCTGGAGTAATGTCACAGGAGCCACCACTCAAGAAGCATGCATTCCGTGCATCTTCGGTTCAACAACTGCCCAGACAGGACCTGCGGCGAATGTGTGTGTTGATGCTTCGGGTTTGTGCCTGAATTAGAGTCAGAGCTTTGAGGCATATAGGTTTCGGATTCAGGTGTGCCACTGTGTACTGTTGAGGATGGTGCAGCAGAACACCTGCTTTAGACGCATTTTATGCAGGTTCGCAAGGTCAGGAGGGCAGAATGTGGCAAAATGTGAGTGAGCTTACGACACACCTCTCAGTCTCAGGTGGTACAGGATTGACCCCATTCAAAACGTTGTCGTGGGAAAGACCTTTCCGGAAAGTTTTGCGAAAGGGCTTAAGCCAAAGGAACCCCGCTGCTCTTTACTCACTTTTTGAGCCTCTCAGACTTGACAGGATCCGATGCTCCGGGTGCGTGCATTCAGCCGGATGCACACCTCAAAGAGTGCATCTCGGGAAGGCCCCTTTGAAGCCGAATCCCCATGTACGGATGTCATTTGCAGGGCCTCGTAATCAACTCCAAGAGTCTGAGCATTCTTTTGCTTTTAGGTCCTATTTAGGCTAGACAGCCATTCGGCTCTCTAGGCATCTCTAGGCCCTTCACAAAGACAATGCAATGTGTTAACAACGACATGTAAATCCTGGATTGTGTAGCCCATTAGTAGCCCTAACCGATTCGATCGAAATTCCGAAACCAGTTGCAAGACTCTCCCAGTTTTTGTAAGAGCAATCATGTTCAAGTGTCCTTTGAAAACCATGCGCTTGCGACTACGAGCGCCTTTTGTGGTGGGTTGGCTCGGGACTTCTCTTCATTTGGCCGGGGGGCCGGCCCGTGGGATGTTTCTGCGAAAGGTGAGTGATTTCTTGTAGTCTATACAAGCAAAGCTACTGTAGAGCTTGTGACCGGCTTTTGATTTTCAAGCAGTGCTTTAGAAGGATGCACGCTCAAGACAACACGAGAAAGGTTGCCTGGCTCCAAGTTGCCCCAAGTCCAGTCAAGAAGCCTAAGGGCTCAAGAGACAGGAGAGAAACGTGAAGAGAAACAAGCAAAGCGCCTGAACCAATGTTCGAGGCCGTGCATCGCGCAGGGCATCGCCGGCTCTGGCCTTCAAGATGGACATGCCCTAGCCTTGTCTCCCAACGACTGTACCGGTGCCCTGGCAAGAACAGAGAAGGCGAAAGTGGAGTGCAGGAGAAAGTCCGGAAACGTCTCCTCTACTATCCCGGTGTTAGTCAACGTACTGCCCATTTCCACAGACGGTCGCAAGTGAGGCAACAAGATCGCCGTTCCTGATGTTGCCAACCAGGGCATCAGCCAGCCGGCAAGTGACGGTGGGAGCACATACTTCTGGGAGGACTTCGCGCCGTTGGGTGGCACATACAACTTGTGCTGGTGTGCTAACATGAACGGCCTCACCTGCGCACAGCTCCAGCTCAACTTCTGGCTGTCTGCGGGGCAACTTACGGTGACAGGGCCCTACCAGCATGCATTTGCATGCATCCGGGGTCGTGATTGCCTCGTCAGCCCCTTCCAGGGTGTGGGCCTTTTGGCAGCTGATGCTGTTTCTGTTCGGCGCGATCGGTGTGGAACTGATCAGCTATTTCAAGTGTCCCCCAAAAACGGGAAGGGTTTGGGCCAATTGGTTCCGCTGGACTCAAGCTCCTTTATCCTCGACTTCGGCAGGTCCGATGCGCAAACAGCATCGCAGCTATCTGTCGATGCCAGCGATGTCGGCTATGTCCTCTGCTGGTGTGCAGGGGCTGCAGGGGCTCGTGGAGATCCAACTGATCCAACTGCCTGCCAGCTCTCTGCAGATTTCGCGGTCCCGGCCGGCCGCTTGCGTGTGCTCGGGCCCAAATCGAACCAGGAGCTGGCTTGGAGCTTCACTCATAGCACGTTCCAATTCAGTGCTAGAGGGGCAGAGAGGTACTCCGCCAGGGAGACGGAAATCAGATTCCATACGTAAAGCAGCAGACCCCGAAGCTGCTCCAGCCCCTAAAGAATGGAAATGACCGGCATGACCTCAGCTGCGCAAAGGTCTCGGCAGAGCTTATTCTTGGATTGCCAGTGATCGTGTTGCCCATCTTACAGAGTCGTTGCAAACTCTTTCGGTGTGTCTTGGCAGGAGAGGCTCTGTTCAGTGGGCCAGCACTGTACGCTGGCTGGCGTGGAGGGGGTGGACTTGCTGCCGGGTGACGCCCTGTCAGGAAGTTTACAACTTTTACGTTTGTGGTTCAGGGTCTAGGGATAAACTTTATCATCTGGATTTGCGTGTGATGGAGATCTCCCCCTCAGCCTAGCCTCTGTCTCTCTGTCTCTCTGTCCGTCTGTCTCTCTGTCTCTCTGTCTCTCCGTCTCTCCGTCTCTCCGTCTCTCCGTCTCTCTCTCTCTCTCTCTGTCTCTCTCTCTCTCTCTCTCTCTCTCTCTCTCTCTCTCTGGTTGTTCCCCGAACAGAGCATTTCACGATTCGTAAAGTGATTCATGGCCCCCCCCCCCCATGGCCCCATTCCTCAAGGAGTGGTGCCTCCTTTCTTAGCTCAGACACCTGAAAGAAGCCGCGCGTCGCCAGCCAATTCCTACGCGAATGACTCTTCCAAAGCTAAACCCTCAAATCACCTTTCTAGCCCCCTGATCTTTCAAGAAACCATATGAAGCACTTCCTCTCCGAGGATCGCATTCAGATCCTCGCTCAGTGCGGCTCGGGCTCGGCGATCCCAGGAGATGGTTTTTCTGCAATGCCAGGAAGAGTTCCAAAACAGAATCTCGTTTTGGACTTTTGTTGTGGAGTTAGTGTTTCTACGGAACGGACGGAATCAATCAACGAACAAGGCAAGAGAATGAGCAGGGAATCCACTCAGACGAAGTGCCCAGCAGCTCACCCAAGTTACACCGTGCATTCCCTCGCAACCTCCAACAACGGCCGAACGTGTACGCACGGCCTCTGCTTGGCTGATGCAGTCGTGGAACCCCACTGCTAACTCGCAAATTCCTTCGACTGATTTGTCGCACAAGAGTCGCTCGGCATGGCAGGGGGGTTTAGCAAAAAATTGCGCTGGGTTACCTGTATCTTGTCGAGGAACCATCCTGCACGAATCGTTCAGCTGCAACTTGCTTGGTTCAAGAGTTCGGGGTCCAAAGGCTTTTAGCTTTGTCTGCGGTCTTGGGACTCCCTGCAGGATTTCCGCACAGCGGCCTTGCGGAGACGAATGCCGCTGGGCTTCATTGGTTTTGAGTCGGGAGCTCGAAATCATGCTCTATTGCTTTGGGCCGTGCAGAAGAAGCAGGAAATTCAAGGCTTGGTCAGTGGTCTTGTGAGCTGAATGACTTTCTAAACCTTTTGGCCTGTCTTTACTCTTGAGCCTGAAATGCGCCAGAATTCATTTCCCCGGCTTCGGTGTCTTGCCAGGATGGCTTGAACTTCCATTTCGGGGACAATTCGACAACAAACAGCACAGAGATTCTGCTGTCCGTGCCTGGGATCTTCCGGATGTGCTACTGCAGGCACCAATGTGCTTGTGTGCCCTAAGTGTACGCTGAGTCATCGCATAGGCATCGTGGCACGGAAGAAGCACAAGTTCGACCCTCAATACGCCTCTCTATGACCGAGCGTGGTTGCCAATAGCTACCATGGGGTTGCTGTATCACGGATGGCAACGGGTAGGAGTCGACGTAGTCGTAGCATCCTCAGCGGAAGCATGCGGAAGCAGCACGCCTCACTTCGTGAAAGGACGAGTGCAGAGGACTTCTGCAGGGATCCTGTCGATTTCCAGGCGTGGCACCAGAATGTTGGATCATTGTGCACACGTTGTCTTCGGAACAGCAGCGGGTGTTCACGTCGAAGCTCAACTCGGAGTCCTTTGCTGGGGGCATTTTTGAGGAGTACGGACACTTCGCAATAGGAGGATTAAGCCTTGGCTAAGCTTCCAATCTTATTGAGCTTGAGGCGCGTCTGGGCCTGCTGACCGTGAAGGGCCCGCAGCCCGTCCACAAAGCTTGTTCTGCAGAAGAACGAAGCAAAAACCTGCAAAGCCAGAGGTGAACTCGAGGTGGTAGCCCGTGCCGCCTTAGACTTCCTGGAGTCCCGGAGGCCGCAAACCCTGTCATCAAGCCTAAACCAGAGGGTATGAACCTTCAACAGTACTGTAGGGATGTTTCGGGTCTCCTCCACGAGCTCTGTTACAGTTTGGTTGAGCACTGCGCTGTAATTTTTTTGATGGCTCGGCTGGACATTTTGCAGCCGAGGTTCGTGCAGAGCACCACGTGCCAGCTTGACAACGACTGTATCATTGAAGTCAGAGGCGCATTGCTGACCAGAATTGGGCTTCACCCTCACAACTCTTCGAGCACCAAGCCCCAGGAAAACATGCCGGGATTTTTAGTTGTCTCTGAGGGCTGTTATCTCCTGCTTGCCCTGATCCGCATGGAAGTTGACATTTTTTCTCTCACTTTCTTGGCACTCACCTCATGATGTTCCGGTTCTTGTTTGTATCAGTGAGACGTAGCAGATTTATCAAGCAATGCCCCAACGCGCTTCTCATCTCGTGAGTTGTGTTTTGGTACTTGCTTGACGTGTCCCCATGATACCCTCGCAAGGTGTTGAAGTGGCTGTAGAGGACCAGATGCTGGTCACCGCCGACAGTTGTGGGCAGCCTCTGGCAATGGATGAGTGGGGGTTCCGCCCTCAGCTCGAATCAGAGTGGAGGTCTCCAGATGCCGGCTGCATTCCGCAGCATGCCACAGTGTGCTTCATGGTCTGCTTCGTTTTTCGTACTTCGTCATCGAAACTTCTCAGTGAAGGTTTGCAGGGCTACAGCGGCTGCTGCCTCTGAGATCCGGGCCGGATGGCCTCCAACTTCAGCTTGGAGACCCTTCTGAAACGGTAAGAATTCGGCGTGAATTCGTGTCCTACTTGTCAGCATAACGGAGCACATCATGGCACTACTGATCGGCTACTCTGAGAGTCTCCACATGTGAGCCCCAGGACGCTTGCCCGCCAGTGCAACACCAGGCACTTACCGGCTGTGCTGGTGCCCAGGCGCGCTGCGAGCAACGGCGAGCAAGCTAAAGGTTTCTCTGGCCTCGGCATTGCCGACATGTCCCCCTGAACCTGCTCAGGAGATGCGTTTTGCACGGTGCCAGAAGACTTCAAAGCATCAGGAGGCATGGATCTTAGACAATTTCTCGAGCTCTGGAACTGGGATAAATACGCATCGGGAAGCATCCGGATGGGGGCCTCGCACTTGAAGCAGTCAGTTTAAACTCATTAAACCGAAGGTTCTTGATTTCCATTTGGGGTTCGGCCCGTCACACGCCGTCTTCTGACGGTTTTTCGATCATGAAGAAACAAGCGTCTCCATGGGATTTGCAGTCAACAGTCATAAAAATGTCGACAGCATCAGCGCCCTCCAGATATCGTGAGTTTTGAGCTTTCGCAGATTGACACCGACGTGCGGCCTCCACATTGTGGTGTAGCATATTATGTTGATGCGCATTGTTGCCGAGTTGGGAATGGTTGTCAGTGCCATGCACAAGCTGACTGAGCCCGAAATGGGTGATGATGTATTTTAGCGGACTGATGTGAGTCAAATCCACTCCTTGCAAGAATTTGTGCAGAAGTATGCGTTCGAACCGCATGGACCCCCATGCAAAAAACGTCCCCCAAGGTGAATCCCCTTGCGTGCAACCCCCAGCTCAAATTGTTCAGCACAGGGCGACAAGGACCAAGTGGCTGCGGCATGTCGGGGCTCAATTTCCTCAATTTCCAACAACAAGTTTTCGTGCATCGATGTGTAGGTTGGTTCATGTTGGTTCTATCCAGTCTCACGGAGGTTGGTCGGCTTGTGTAGGAGCTACGGCAACACAAGTTTTTTGCACAGCCGAGTTCCTTTTTTATCGGTCGCAAGGCGTCCTCGCTTTTACGATCGGTTGGGGTTGCTAGCAGATCCTTTCAACTGTTGTGCTATGCTGTGCTTCTCATCGGGCTCATAAGCCTTTTACTGTGCACTGCAAGGGCCCCATAGAACCCCTGAACTGACTGGACGCGACTTGAACAAACTGCTGAATTGCTTCCTTGATCGTCCTCCGTCCCCTATCAATCCTTCCAAAGCTGTTTCTGTGCCCATAAGGCGAGATACACATGGACTGCCCATCCGGCATGTACGCCACAGGGCTGCCACCAACGTGCAGAGTCTGTTCCCGAGGCTACCACTGTTTCTGGAACTTGGTTTAGAAACCGCTTCGGCGCTTGCTGTCCTTGTAATTTTGCCTTGTCGCTAAAATATAGTCCTAGAAATGCAAAGACCAGGGTTGACCACTGCTTTCAGACCAGGTTCAGGCGGGCCAACCGCCTCTGCAAAGCGCGTCCCTTGCGCAGATGCAGAGACCACTCTGATTTTGGGTGCCTTAGATTATCAGTGCACTTGCAGAGTAAAGATCACAAGGCAGGCAAATGCAAAGTTGACGGCTTAAGCTCATAGGACCTGGTCTGAACAACCAAGAGCAGGAATGCAAAGATGGATTCTGCGAAGGTTCAGGCCAGGTTTCATGAAACGTTTTCTGAATGTTTCTGACAGCTCTTGAGGTGCCACTTCCAGCGATGCTTGCGTTTGTGCGAAAGGATATAGCATGTCATCAGCAACCGGCCGGTGCAATCCCTGCGACATCGGCTTCTACAAGAACACAGACAGCAATGAAGATGCGTGCATGCCATGTCCTGAGAATTACACCACGTTCACTACCGGTGCTGCTCTTCTCTCTTCCTGCGTCCTTGTGCAGCCCCCTCCAGACACAGATGTCTCGCCAGAACTTCCAAGCAACACCAGCACTGGCACTTCGAATTCTTCAGTCGTCAGCGCGTTGCAATTGAATATGTCGGTCGCTGGCATCACCGATGTTGCTTGTCTTCCAACATTAGTAGGATTTTCGGCCCTGAGTTCTTCGTACTTCCGCACCCCACACAACCCGACCAGCCTTTATGCTAAAACACAATTGGGGTGGGGGGTGGGGGGTTAGGACCGGTTGGGACCGTAGTCCGGACGTCCACAGATATTGTCGAAGGTCCAGACGCAGGAGCAGCTCTCAGCGTTGATCCTCGCAATCTTGTCGGAGACGACACGGCTGGACACGAGCGTCGCTGGATCTTTGTTCGGCCTTAAGAAATGTATTGTATGGTAAGAGGAAAGGCCGTTATCGCAAGAAGTTTCAGTGAGCTCAGTGAGTTCGAAGAACAACCCAGGTCATTCAGCTGGACTTTGGTGGTGACGGAGTTGTTGCAGCAACTGGCCCATGTCAAAGTCAGCGATTCGTGTCACTATTGACTATGTTTGCCACTTGTACTTCCTACTAATAAGGTCCTACTACTCGCATGGTGACAGTGTTGTGCCTTAACGACAAAGGCAAGCCGAGCGAGGCGCCTCACAGGAGATCTGGCTTGGGTGCCCCGGCCAAATCTTGGGATATCTTGAGGGATATCTCGGGTCCTTGGCAACGCTTCCGGAAAGCCGGGCCTTGCGCTTCAAATGTGGCTCCAAGCGTGTCAGAGCCAGGTGAAGAAGCGTTCATGGTAGATTGTGAATGCTAAATTGCTGTGGGAGATACCATGGCATCATGCGCCAACAAACTTCCCCCACGCCGCCCAAGGTCACGATCAAAGTGAATCGTCCCACTTTGGAGGAGGCATCTGCACTTGCCTCAGAGTTGGACGTCAACGCGCTGCTCGACGACCCTCTCCTGTTGCCTTATGCACGTTTTGCGGGCTCTACCCCCTGCTACCCGCAAGGCCCAAATCCTGGTAGTTGCAGGCTTTTCTCATTGTGTTTGGTTGGCTGCCTTGGCCCAACGAAGGATGTAACTTCAGCCATCCAGGACAATCCTGTGGCGCGGTGGGCTTTATGAATTGCTGCAAGTACTTCTTTTGGATCTCGATGTTTTTTTTAAAGCTGGTGTGCAATGACGAAGAGGTCATGTCTGTGAGAAGTGTAAGCTTGCAAACATTCAGGCGCTGGCTTCCATCCAGGTGAGTGTTTCCGAGCCTGAGGTGGTGCCGGTGGTGATCTCATGTGATCGCTACCGCTCGGTACCCCCAGGATCCGTAGCTTTGACAAAAGGCGACTGTCAGTGCAGCATGGGCTATGGCTACGACGAAGCATCGCTGGCCTGCGAGCCATGTGGACACGGATCTTACAAGCCCACTACAGGCGATCGCTTGTGTACACCATGCCCCGCATCAACATCTACCTTGGCCATTGGCGCAACATCTTTCCAAGAATGCCGCTGTCAAGTTGGTCTCTATGCAGAAGCCGGAGAATGCCGAGCATGCCGACCCGGCTTTTACTGTCCAGGCACAGTCACTGCTTAAGCCATGTTTCTGACAAATTTTTGAAGTTTTTGAAGTCTATTATTGAGCATTGTGTAATGTAGTGCTCGTGTAGTACCTGTAGTAGATAGCCCGGACATGCAGGCACCGGAGCAGCTGTCGAATGTCCGCCCAATTCCTTTGCGGACGCCGGTGCGTGGCAAGAGCTTGCCCCCAGGCACAGTTTCATCACCTTTGATGGTTGGACCTTGACAATATCTGATTTCCTTAGCAAAGCTGGCGCTGATAATTAGGCTTCAGTTGTGTCTTCAGCAGTAGAAGGACAAGGTCTGGAAAGCAGCGAGCTATCGCTTCGTAGGTTGTGGGGTCCAACCTGAATTTGTCTTGAGGTTTTGAGTGGATGGGGGTGCCAAGATTGATTCTTGTGCAGGTAGGATTGCGGGAGGGGTTTCGACTGTGTACGCACGTACCGCGTGTGTCTTAATGACAAACGTGCACATGCTCGGTTCTCATGCCTTACAGCACCCTTTGCAGACCCTACTAGATTTGAGAAACGCTGTCTAAGCATTGTCCTGGACTGAAGGACTGCGAGTGCATCGCGGGTTACTACATGTCCGGGAGTGGCACCTGCACGCCTTGTCGACCGCAAAGCTACAAGCCGGTTCGGGGTAACGAGGACCCTGTGAGGTTTCGAAGCTCTCAACTCCAATCTGAGAAGGGATGTCTAGCCGGCTATATGGAGGCATACGATTCCGATGTATCATGCCACTGGTGTTTCTTGCGATTGGCTGCAGTTGGTGGTGATGTATTTGCCGCGCTGCGGCTTGCGGAGTTCATAGCGGGGCAAGCTCATTCACACTTCCGAGGTGACATCCCCGCCACGCAGTCAAAAGTCCAGTCACCTCAGTGCCCATGCATCCCAGACACACGCACATCCGCAATCATGTACCCACGTCTCTGTCTCATTTTCTTAGTCCGCCCGAGGGTCCACATCCTGCGCGTCCTCGGCGCGGTCTTGGGCGTCCGGATCCACGTGTTCCGCAAACCATTTTGAGTTCACACCTCACATGCCCGAAGCCTAACTCCATGTCGTCTCTCTATCAGTCAACAGGCTGACGACTTGTTTTTCCACTCAAGCTCGCCTGAGATCGGGTTTGTTCCCCTTCGTCTTCGGTTCAGACCTCTTAGTATTGCCCAGCATGCCCCATCCATCATTCGTCTGGAAGCTGCTTCCAGTCACAGACGAGTTCCTTTTGGTTCAATGGCTGTCGTATGAGCTCCATGACAAGAATGCCAGGTTATTGTAACAAACATCCGGTGCGTGTCTCGTGCGCAACATGGCATGATACTGAACCCATCAGTACTCCGGCAACATGGTCTCTTTTTTATCGCTCTTTCAGAGGAAATTCAGTCAATATGTAAATTTGTCCCACAGGAGTGTGTGCTCAAGTGCCCCAACAATGCCAACAGCACGCCGGCAGCTTCTGTGTTGGAGGAGTCTCAGCCGCTTTTTTTGTGGGAGCCAGCACATTTAGGGGTTCGGCAGTTGAGATTCAGGGCACCTTGAACTGACATCGAGCTCTTCAACATGGAGCCCACTGGCCCTACTACGGTATACGGTATAAGGCACAGTTTCAGGGGTTTTTTTGCGCTTCTTTATGTAACCTTACAACACGTGCGTCAGCACTAACTAAGGACTGCTTCTGCCTGCCTGGATACCACGCTCGTTTTGACGAACAAGGGCAGCTTTTCCGTTGCGCCAGCTGCGAATCCTACGAAGGGTTGACTTGCTACGGCGGCTTTGTGGAAAACACTACGGCAGCTGCTAGCCAGAATTGCCAGAATCAGTAGAGCGCAGGTTTGGGGCTTGCGGTGATTTTGCGACGTCAACCGAGGACGGAATCCATACTCAGCCTGTCGCAGACCCAGGCCCATCGCGACTTTGATGGGTCGTTTCAGGCTTTCAGGGATCTGCAGGGATTTGCAAGAAGCAGGAAGGTTTAGGGTTTACGGTGTAGGGTTTAGGGTTTAGGGTTAGGGGTCAGGGTTTAGGGTTTGGGGTTCGGGTTAAGGGTTTATGATATACGATCTATACGATCATACCGCCATACCCTATATAAATCGATTAACAACAAATAGAAAACCAATAGTTTTTTACCCACCTTCGTTGTAAGCCTCGCGAGCCTCCGAACGATATCAATGATCTAGGTGAGAGAGAGAGAAACACATTAACGACGTCATGCAAGGGGATCCGTGTCATCCGTGAGTAAGAGAGAGAGAGAGAGAGTTTGGCAAAAGGCTTGCCTCTTCTTTTTCAATATCAAGTTGAGGGACATGCTCCGCTATTCTCAAACACACTGCTAAGATCTCATCACCATAAACAAACTCTCTACTAGCAGTTATACCACTTTGGTTACCAAATCCGAAGGACCTCAGAACCAACAGAAACCAATAGAAAATCAATAGGAAACCACTAAAAACCAGTAGAGAACCAATAGAAACCAAAAACGTTTTTATAGGCTTTTGTTGGTTTTCTATTGGTTTTTACTGGTGTTCTATTGTTTTTTGGTTGTTATTGGTTTTCTATAGGTTTTTATTGGTTTTCTATTGGAATTTCTACTGGTTTTCTATTGTTTTTTTATTGGTTTTCTTTTTGGTTTTTATTGGTTTTCTATTGATTTTTATTGGTTTTCTTTTGGTTTTCTGTTGGTTTTCTGTTGGCTGTTGAAAATTGCAGAGCTCACTCGGAAGAGCTAAATTGGTTCCTCGGCGTAGGCTTCTTCCAGACGGGGGAGCTGGTGGCGGTGCGGTGCGAAGTAGAGACGGATGCTGGTTCCACTTGTTTGGGCGCCAGCATTTGCGAGAATGGGTCCACCCCGTGCATCCTGCCACGGTTTTAGCATGCAGGGGCACAGGGCCGATAAGAGTCCCGAATTGTCTCTCTGTGCGTGTGTGTGTTCAGAATTTGTTCAGATATTCGCATTTTTCAGCAGTTTCAACGTTTTTCTTGTGAGCTTTGTCCCAGCCATCTGAGGTGTTGGGCATTACATCAATCAGTGCACAACTGGCTCCGCAGGCGTGCCAAGAGAAAGACACAAACTCCCCGAACCATTCTAACTGTTCTAAGCGGCCCAAACCCCTCCCTGGCCAAAAGGCATGCTCTGCGGCGAGTGCTCAGAGGATTGGGCCAGAACGGCATACGGAGAGATGTGCCAACCATGTGTATCAGGCTGCATGGCAAGAGAGAAGAGTTGCAAATATATGCTGGTGACCAGAAGGTTTCAGAAGGTTTCAGTAGCGGACCCCATGCTAGGTGGTAGAAGCATGTGAACCGGAGTTTCAGTCGCTGCTTGCGGAAGGTCCTTCTGCTACGCCCTTTGTTGAGATGTTGTCAGTACAAGTTTAGTGCCCTGATGAGACACTGCTATCCTTCTGCTATGCGGGCAAGATCGGTTAAGTTCAGGGCTTTGGGAGGGATGCTTTGGAGGCCGATTTTGAGTTAACGTTGGCGCAAATCTGTTTCCGAGACACAATAGAATCACACGACTGCTAGACATTGCGAATGATGCTGTACTGTTGCAATCAGGATTTGAGAAGCCGAACAACTTTGGGGGTTTTTGGTTGCGTCCCCCATTCCCCTTCGCCCTTGGAGGTGTTGGAGGCATGGTTGGAAGCATCCTGGGCGATGTCTTGCAGACATTGGGCTTTGCTTTAAGGCTTTGCTTGGCATCTGCTGCTTGATGAAGAGCCCCCCCCCAATCTGCTGTTTAATGAAGTGCCCCGCACCCCCCCCATCCCCGCCCCAAGGAAAGTTCTTGTGAACTTTGTCTTGGCTCTGTTGGCGGCACGGGCTGCCGTGAACAAAGGCGCAGCAGGGAAGTGAAATGTGGCGAAGTGCGTCTTCTTATCAGATGTGCTGCTCGTGGGTTTCATGCTTCAGACTACTTCGGCATGTCAGCCCTGGCTGGAAACAGCTTTTCCTAGCAGTCTGTGGCTCCTAGAAGGCTGGAACAGTGCCCGAGCAGTTGAAGGTTTGACAGAGCTGGACGAAAATGCAACAACTTTGGGGCTTCCTGCTCGGCATTGGTCAAGGCTTTGTTGTAAGGCTTGAGAGATCCTGAGAGCGAAGGTGAAGTCGACGAGGGGGTCCTCCCTAGGGATGGCCTAGGTGTCCCACACAAAATAGCAGTAACCCATTCTCCAGCACGTGAGATGTCGGTTTGGATCCCGACAACTTTATTTGTTCGTGATGCTTTGATGCTTACCTTTGGTTTGATGCTCCCTGTTGGTCTGGTGCTTTTGGCTTAGCACAATGACGACAGCAGCGGGCTGTCATGTGGACAGCAGCTCCAGGTGCAAGGTTCAGGGAGTCTCCATGAGTCCATCATGAGTCCATGATCATGGCTTGCAAGATGTCTGAGAGTGTCTACTGTCACTGGTCTTGACACGCTGCTCGAAGTTACACGTGCTGTTGCGCAGACAGTGGACTATACACCACCGTCATCCGCATCGGCACGCAGTGGATGGTGGCATTATCTGTCATCACGAATTTCAAGATTGAACCTCGGCCAGACTCTGGACTTTTCAGTGAACTCGTTAGAGGAAGCCAAATTCTCAAAATTCACGAGATCGCGGAAAGTCCCGTTGCGCTCAGGAGCATCTACCGGTCTTCGCTTGGTCGGTGGCTGTGGTGCAAGGTGTCTTGTGGTCGTACATGTCCCACCCCACATACCAAGGAGGCTATCAGCAGCCTGCCCATTCCACCATATTCCACCCATTTATCCAGGAGCCCAATATTCCTCTTTTGTACGGTACATTCAGGATCGGGCGTGAGACAACTTGACTTGCACTGTTCTGCAGGGGCTCAGACATGGTATCCGCCGTAGGCTGCCCTGGTGCTAAGTCGCTTGGATTCTAGAAGGGCAATGAAGGGCACAAGTCACGAGTGCTTCATGAATGCTTGAAGGCTGCGACCGCGGCGCGTTCGAGTGTGACGAGGCCCAAATTCGATTCCCGTGGCCGTCGGAGGCTCGCAATTCCTCAAGTTGCTGAGTTGCTCACTGAGTTGCTGAATTAAATACATCTGGCTGGGTGGGAGCTTTCACGGTGCAAAGAAATCTCATGAAGACTAGCCTGGCAGTCGTTCCGTGACACTGAAAGGTCACCGCTTTCCTTCAAGAGTTCTTCGGCATCCGCTTGGTTCCTCAATGGATTTCAGTGCACTTTGCGACCAGCTGTCGTGCCACGGAGTTGTACCCCGGAGATCGCGTGGCCAAGATGATGGCGCCAGGACAGGTGCACAGAGACCAGTTATCCAGTGCTAGTGCTAAATACAATACTTGTACACAGCTTGTACAGCACGAGGATTTTCGTATTCGCGGCTACTTTCGCTCAGCTGTCGAGGACTCTACTATGTCCTTTCGCCGTTTGCGGCCTTGTTGGGCGTGTCGATGTTCTGTACACTTGCCACGCAAGCATCACTTCTTCTGTCTAGCATGATTACACATTTGCATAAGCATGTACAGTGTAGCGTGGTAGCGTGTCATTTGGTGCTGAACGACATGATGTAATATCGACAGACGCCTTGGTGGACTGGGTGCCCTTGCCGGTCAGTGCTAAGCTACAGGGCCTCTTGGACAACAAGACAACGTGAAAACGGAATGAGGCATTTTCCTGGTTTACGCAGTGGTGCCCCTGGCAAACAGCCGCCCAGTTGCATGTTGGATTTTGCGATCAATAGGATTAAATAGGATAGCCTTTTTGTTGTTTTTTTCATCGCTTGTTGGCTCGTGCTTAGATTTGACTCGAAGTAACCCCTAGTTGCTAGGCAGGACGTGTAGAAGCGCTGCAACTTGCATGTGGCATATCGAAGTCTGCACAGCTGTTTACAGTACTTCTCCTTGATCACTAGGTCAGTAGGTGTCAGACACCATGCAATTTGCGCTGGCGACTCAGGCCTTGGTGTGGAATTCAATCCAGATGGGAGTGAAAGGAGAGCCAGGGTGAAGGCGACCAGTGGGATGAAATCAAACGCTGCGGCTCCTTGAAGCTTCTGGCTAAACCCGACACAGAGCATCACGCAGTAAGGAATCATTCGTCGGTCCAGACAGAACCCAGACTTTACTTCTACTATGTTTGAGCTCACGCCACGTCAGGCAAGCTTCACATGCGACCTCATGCGTGGAGCAAAAGTGAAAGCAGGAGCGCACTGCAACTTTCCAGCGAAGAACATAGGTACATTCAAATAGTACGTGTAGCCGACTGACACGACCTTCGAGAACTGGACCCATCTGCACCCGCAATGAGCAGCTGCATGGCCTGTGTGTGAATGAACTGCGGCAGAAGCCAAGATAATACTGCGTTTCATGCGCATTCTTTGTTCGCTCGTAAATGCAACATACTTTGTACGGCCTTTTGCGCTCACTTCGTTCCCGTGGTATTTTACTACATTTGAATGCATTTGTCGTGCAATATTCTGCTTTGTACGCACGCCGTACGTTCATGTTATGGGAAATTCTGATGAAAACATGGTGGGAGTCTTTCGTGAAACTTTTTGTGAAAAGTCCTTTGTTTCAATCCTTTTCCGATTGTGAAGGCGAAGAGGAAGCTGAAGGCCGCTATGGATCCGATGCTCGAGGAGGGCATCGAGGGCCCAGGCTTTGCAGGCCTCAAGGGCCTCACATGGGAGGACGTCGAGGCGCAAGGGTTTGCAAAAAGTCGCGAGCGTGGAAAGGGCGTAAAGGGCATCCCATGGCCACAAAAGCCCAAGGTAGGGGATGTGTTTTGTTTTCGCGCCGTCCTGAAAGGACACCGGGATGCTGGACGAGCTCAGCATCTTTCAGCTCCAACATGCACGTTATTACACTCAAGATTTCCTGGAGAAAAGCATGTCAAAGTCCGAGACTTGGATCAGGAGCGTGAAGGGCATTGCTTGGTTTGCGTGCATGTTTGAGCATTCATCAGTGCGGTCTTTGTTTCTGTCGGCATGGCCCGAACACGAGACCGCCGTCGCAGGAAAATTGCCTTGTTGCAGACGATGCAGGACCCGAAATTCCAGGACCTGGGAGGGAGACATAGGGAGACCTTGCCAGCACGCTCGATCGCGTTCCGACCTCCACATTTCTAGAGCACCCTTGGCTTCTTTGCAAGACTCGGAATCGCTAAAGTTTCCGCTAGGTGCCCCCACAAAATTTCTGGCAATGACTTCGTCATCAGCAAGAGGTTCCCACAAGAGACATCACTACGCCACATATAGTGTCGCATAGTACAGCTATCTGCAGAGGACTTCTGTGATGGCTTTGACATGGGCCTTGCGGATCTTGATGCCAAGGCCGATGCTGACTGCAAGACTGTTTCAGTTTCCGGACCTCTGAGTTTCAGAGCAGGGGACTCATTGCAGGGCACGGAAGCGATGGGCACGGCCCAAAGGTCGGAACCCTCGAATATGTCTCCGAAAAGCATACACGTCAACACGTTCTGCACCAACCTCGGTGTCCTTCTTTGGCAGTTGTCGAGCCATCTACCCGTGCCTGATAGCACACATCTTCTACATGACTCTGGGACGAAGTAGTATGGCATCATCCAAGAGGTTCTGGAACCCGTTAAGTAAGAAGGGCACATCCAAATATTTGGTAGCCAATATTTATGTGCCTATGTATTGGGAACCATGCGAACCTGTGAGCCCGTTTATCATCGTTTATCCAGGTCTTGGGTCCGCTTTTGGTCTCCAACAATCACAAGTCCGTGGACTCCAAAAGGGTCGCGGCCATGGCTTTCGCCTGGAAGATCATTCAAGATCACCACCCGCAGCTCCGCATGCACTTGGGATGTTGTATACATATATGTCTAAATAAATATATATATATATATAAACGTTTGTTCGTCACCCTCGGTGTCTCAGATAGAGTGCAGAAATGCCAAAGGAATCCCGGAAGCAAACTGTGGGGATCATTGTAAGCGAGTATTGTGGAACAGGCATGGAGTGGGAACAGAGCTTGCCGGGCTTGCTGTTTCGAGTTGCTGTCGCTTCGTACGATCCTGCAAAGCATGAGTCTTCAATTGGCAGTTGCTACCCAGTTGTGGAGGTCTCAGAAGTCACCAACCAGACTTGCTGCTGCAAAGGCAGCAGGCATGATCAGATATGTCATGGCGGCTGTGAGTACAAGGAAGCAAAACCAAAGCAACAAGAAAGGGCGGTGACGGTAGTGAGCACCTCTGAAAGATGTTGGTGGCGCATTGTGCCTTGCCTTGACACGGGCCCAGGCACGTCGACCAAGACGGGATCGATCCTTGAGATGGCATGGCTAAGGGTCGGATCTGGTTCTGAGGATGTGAGAATGTCTTGGGACTGTCCGCGTCGTCCCCGGCTAGGATGGTTCTGCTACTCTTTGAAGAAGCAAAGTCCGCAAGGTCTGTCGCGTTCCCATCGCTGATTTTTGAGCAAAGGCGTCACTCAATGATAAGTACGGAGCGCAGCCTTAATGTCACCTGAGGATTTGATGGATGTGGCAGTCGCCCTTGCAGAAGCCCACCGTTTCTCGCTTAAATACAAAAGCAATTCGCTGAGCCGGTGCTTCTTTCAGACTTGACAAGCAGTGGAACGTGGCCACATCGGCCACCATGCCCCCCCAGCTTCAAACCATCCCGTGGTGTCTCGATGTCCTTCGAAGGCTCTAGGTAAGACTTTCAATGGCATACGAAAGCCTGTGAAGGAGACTACATCCAGGTAAGGTTTTGCATCTTTGCAGTCCACTGGAAGAGCCTCTTAAATTGTCTTACTGCTTGTGACTGCTTGTGCAGAAGGTGCTGACCCGGAGCTGCTTCGCATGACAGCGAGTGATCCAGCTCTTCTGTTGGAGGCCGTCAACGCTGCTGCCTCAGACCCAGACAAATTGAGCCCATTCTTACACCCTGCAACCTCGAAACCCTTTACCGCTCCTGAAAAAAAGGCTTGAACAACAGACTTGAAGACGTCGTGTATCAGCCCAAGACCCTTTAAGCTTCAGAAGTCTAAAGTCAATCCCAACTGGTTTTCTCGTGGCCAGGCCATGATTTTTGGGTGCGTAGGGGTTTAGGGACGAAAGGGCTATTCTTCTGACGTCCCGAATCGCTGCAAAAACCAGTTTTCGCGCTGGCCAACAGCGACATTGCTTTGTGTTGTGGTCCGTGCGTCAAGGTTAAGGGAGAAGGTATATTCCACATCGTTAGTCAAGAAATGTCCCCTGCATGTACAAGATCAGGCTGCTTGCGCAGATGCTGCGGAGAAGGTCGCGGCACTGACAGTTGTTGAGGACGCTGTGGAAGCCACCGCCAAAGCCGCTCTGCCTTGAAGAGCACGCCCTCTCAACGCCCTCTAATTTTAACGCTACGCGACCCGCCTCGGCCCGGCCCAGCGCATCCGCGCGAGCATGGTGATTCCGCAGCACCCAAGTCATTGGAGCCCAAGCAATAAGGGTTGGGTTTAGGGTTTAGGGTTCCGGGTTTATGGTTTATATGGTTTGGGCTTTAGGGTTGAGGGGCCCTAAACATGCTCTGATATGCATCAAACCACATCTAAGGACGATCATACGGCTGAACTGCCAAGAGGTATGAGTCAAATTGATGCGGCGACCCTGCCACTTGTTGAGCAAATGTACTCGTAGCAACGCTGAAAAGGGCTACAGTAAGGGCATTGGGGTTCAGTACGGGCTGCGTAGACTCACCTACCAGCATCTTTGGCCGTGGCGCATTTTTGTTGGGCATGTTCACAAGCAACGTCAGCCCCCAAGCCCTTAACCCAATGAGACTTTAGGGTTGTTTTCTGGCCTACTAAGCTTCCATAAAGTGCTTTATGCCATGCAGATCGTGTCTTGTTGACAGTCGATTAGACCATGTGCAGTTATCGGCTTGCAGTTTGGCGGGGTACTGTAAATCTGGATCAGGGGTAGCAGTAGCTGCGTCCGACCAAGGGGTTGCTGGTCAGTTGAAGATTACAGTGGCTTTTGCCAACCTTTATGAAAAGAATGCGGGCTGCTTTTACAAACAAGGCCTGTGAAAGGTGAATGGTTTCGATTATGGTTGGTAGAAATTCCAAAAATCCCGAATTGTCTTCCTTGCAGGCACAAGGCCGAATTGGCATTGACAGTCCTGGGAATCGCGGTCACTGCCCGGTGTTTTCATGACAGGTACAGTGCAGATGATTAAGCGGCACTTTGCGCGGACCCAATGCCCTTTCAAGTTCTTGCTCACTCCCTCACTTCCTTGTTTGGAACGAATGGTGGCACAGGTTCGTCGTGTAGCATGCCTATAACCGGCAGGCCGGGATGCACTACACAGCGCGATCGACATCATCTCAACACCACAACACAATAGCAACCGACATTCCTTCTTGAACTTGGTACAAAGGCCGCATGTATTCGCGACCATACTGTAGATGATTAGCTCTGCCATGGGCCCTCACGTGACCTCCACAAGATTGAAGAACTTGCGTGAGAGAAAAGGTGGCGATGTGTCACACAAGCCATGCCTTGCAACCCTCTCTGGCAGTGTTCGGTTCCTGTTGAAAAAATTAGGTATGGTGATGGCATGGTGATGGCCAATGGCGTGTAGTAGAAGTGGTGATAGTTCCTTTCCAGCATCGATGCTGCATCTGTTGAGCCGAGGAATTTCGGTCTCTTCACCTCTTTTCCTCGACCAAGAGAACTCCTGCGACAGAGCATGCCAGTTGTACTTGTGTCTTTTGGAGTATCTGTTTTTTTTTTGTGAAGTCTTTTAGGGATTCGTTTTCAGGAATTTTAGTTGCATAACTCCGCAAACAGCCAAGGTATGGCTTACGCTGACCGGGATATGGCCAGAGTTGCTGAAAGAGCGCCTGGGATTTTTTCGAGCAAGCCAGAACCTGCTAGACGGGTTGAAAAGTGTCATGCCGTACATAGCAGGCGTCTTGGGCGAGCTATGCCGACGAATGGCGCTCTCACGTTTTCTCAGTAAATTGAGGAGAGCTCTTGAGACATCTTGAGACGCTGCGCACTCGATTTCCGCTTGACGTCCTAAACCCCGAAAAGCAACCCGAAGCCCTAGTTCTTGAATTCCTAATCCTGGAATCTTAAAGGTGATGCCCCGGATATCGATTCCGCCATTCCTGACAGGACAATCTGATCTTGTGGGAAATGAAAAGAAGCTAAGCCACCCGAAGAAACATTTAGCAACCGAATCACAGTATTCTCCAGGTACTTGCAGCTCATCTGGTGCTCGCCAGTGGCAGAAGGCAGGATGATGCATAAGACATGTTGTGACGACTCCTTGACTCTCGTTGTGATCTGGAGGTGATGCACATTTGACATAGTATTGCCGGTATCGGTGCAGCAATGTAAGTTCCTGAGTCATCAGCCAAAGACCTACTCGGTAAGCACATCTCAGCACAGCATCGGCATCAGCAGGCCAGAAAGAGTATGTGCTACTACAGGAAATGCGGGAAGGAGAAGACGGCAACCGTCGCGGTGGGCTGCCCACAGCCCCTGTCCTTTTCCAAAATCGTCTTTGAAAAGAAGTTGTTGCAGTGGACGAGCTGCCAGGATGCTCCGCACCCTCCAGGGGTGCCGGTACTGCTTAGCACCCTACTTGTCGCTGCCGAGCTCCGAAGAGACACGACCGTCGACCATGCCCGGTAGAGAGAGCCAGCTCGTGGTGAGTGCCGAACCCTTCACAGCTTCCAGCGCACGGCGACTGTTCCGCGACGAGAGTCCCCATTCTCGGTAAGGGCAGCTTCCAAGTGCAGGGTTAGTGCACTCTGCACTTGAAGTGTTCTTATGCTGCGCAGTGGACGAGTTTTTCCCTTCAAAGGGGACCCCTTTAAGTGGACGTCTTTAAAGTCCGAAACCCCCGTGAACGGCACCTTCAACCCTACAGGAACGCTTTCTCCAATGTTTTGAAGCTCGCCGACTTGTTGTGGCAAGAGAGAGTTGCCTAACACACGGAAGATTTCTCTTTCCCAATCGGCACAGCAAGTTTTTGTTTTCTTTTGACAAGCCACGCGGAGTTCCTACGCTATCCTACGCTTCCACGTCCCAGCGACCTCTGTACCTCATTAAGTACTCCGCATGTGGACATGACTTGCAGCAGTGTGTAAGGGAACATCGCAGAAGTAGTGCAGGATCATGAGAGGTGGGCATGGCGAATAACATCTTTAGATTATAGGGTTTAGGATCTAGGGACTCCACTGGCACAAGTTGCCAGCAAATGTGAGAGCTTCCTTGCGTCTTGCCGAAGGCAGTGGAGAGGTGGTGCAACGCTTAGTCCAGCATCCGGACTCCTGCTTTGCAAGAAGACGAGGGAGCTTTCATGTGCGATTTCGGATGCCCCTTGCCTAATCCGCACAGCTTCTGATTGACACTCCGAGCAAGGACATTGTATGCTGGTCGTTCGACCATGCTCCACTGGCCCTGATCGCTTTGGCTGGGTTGCTGGTGTGGTGTGCTGGGATTCCCATAGCCTTGTTTCTGAGCCTTGGCTGACATGATGCCTAACTAAATTGGGCCCATTGGGACACATTTCTTTGGACCTATGCCAGCTCTTGCAAGGACTGTTTGGCGAACCCCAGACCGGCAAAGCCAAGAGAACCACAGAAACTACGGTTACTTCATCGAAGGCCAGTGCTTTAGGGCTTGACGGAAAATGGGAGCACACATGGGAGCACACAAAAGGCTCTTTCGCATGGAGATGTGCGCGAGGTGTGTGGTTGTAGCATTCGCGCCATGTTGCGTGAGTCAGCCCATGAGCCACATTTTGAAGGGCCCAAACTTCTTGAAGAAGCGATGCGCGAACCCAGTCGTCTCATATTTTGGAGAGAACGAAGCTCTACCGCATCTCTTTGTTCGGCTTAGCTTGAGCACTTGTGGTAAGATCTCGGATCTCATGTCCGCTGCTCAATTTGCAAGGTTGCTATGAGAAGGAACACACCCACACACACAAATGGTTTTGAAGACTCTGGATTCCTGGATAACAGGTTTGGAGCCATCCTTCTGGTGGTGGGACATTGTCGCTTGGAAATTGCAGAAACTATAGAACAAATATCTATGCAATCATTATTACCAGTACCATATGCTCCTCCAGTAAGTTAAAAGTTGATCATCATATCTGCTCTGCTAGGCCACTGATATCCCTCTCTTTTGTTGAGTGTCCCTTCCTGCAATAGAACACATGCACATTCAGCCCAAGTCCTCATCTTAGTGTCACCCTTTTGGCAAAACTGGCAATCTCACCACCGCCCAACCTCATCCACCAGCCCCCCCACCTTACAACCAAACACCCAAACAAGCTTTTCAGCCGTTGCTCAAAGCCAAAGCCAAGACGCACCGCAAAAGAGCACCCCCGAGGTTGTGAAGCGACTCGACATTGGCTTGATGCTAGTGGTGGCTTACACATCATTGGCGCCAGACGACCGTGCCAAGCTGTTGCTGTTTCCCCTCATTTCTGCTGTTCAACTCAGCAGCTGACTCCAAGAGTTGAGCCTCACATTTTCTTTTTTGAGTTTCTGGCAAGGTAAGGGCGGTAAGGGGTGTGCAGCTACTCAGCTACTCTTTGTTTTTCTTTTTTTCCGATCATTTTGATGGTTATTGAAGAGAGGCATTACATGTTGGTTCAAGCCCTTCTCCAACGATCAATCCGAGCCTTTGGATTGCACTAGCGGCAGAACCCGAGATGGCCAGAATAGTGTGCAGCTTGTTTCGAGACAGTTGAACGCAGAGCAATGATCGAGCGATTCATGCATGGCTTCACAGCTGCGATCGGGGCTCTTGCGCTCAAGTCCCACGACAATCCCGAACCACTCTGCTTTGCCTCCGATTTTCCTTCTGACAGTGTGAGACTGAGCCACCTCGAATCAAAGGCCGCGTAATTGTAGTAGCTATTGGTCCCATGCCCAACATCATGCAGTACTGAAGCCCTTAAAAATTGTGCTCCATTTGCTTGGCCTTTGACCTATTGATGCCGAGGTTGTTGGATTTTCTGGAGATGCTGCTCTTGTCGTCTCGCTTCATTTTCTTTGCATCGGTGGCAGTTCTTCTTCTGCTCAACCCCGACGCGGACACAACACAGCCCCAGCCTCAATGCAGCGACCGAACTAGCTGCAAATATGCCGGAAAAGTTTCATGTTTACTGACTCTTACTGACGATAGTTTCTTGCTACGAATTTTGCATTGTAATCAATGAAAGTAATGAAAGTCTCATGTGGGAACCTTGCCCAAGAAGTGAGTTGCCTTGTGCCGAAAGCCAGGGTTGATGGTACAATTACTAGTCGTGATCTCGCCGAAGAGTTTGCGACCGGACAACGTCCAGAGATAGGCCCTGATTGATCGGCAGTTTCAGATGGCTTGCGCAAGCATGGTTCATGATGCCCTATCCCCAGCTCTGCACTTGGCCCCGTGCGACTGTAGTCCCTAGACTTCTAGACTCCTCGGTATCATTCCATACTATTCACGACTTCAAGACAGCCAGATTTGATCGGGCTTACCCCAGACCCATACCTCCTTGAGCTCGTGAGGCTTATGGCAGGCCTGCTCACGGGTGTGATCCTCACAGCTTCTGCATCTTTCTTTGGGAATGGATTTGTCTTTTTTAGAGGAAACCAGCTTACTACCAATTCGGTTTTTCGCTCCAGTCCAGGTTTTCTTTTACTTTTCAGTGCACGCAGTCGTGCAATTACTCCGCGAGCTCTCTCACGAACTGGGTGAGGACCGTTTTTTCTGTTGAATCTGGCATCATTTTCCTTGATGATCTTCCGGTGCCACCAAATGTTGGCTTACAAAGCAACGACAGCCTGTCAGCCTGAGTGCAGAGCATCGACTCCTCAGAGTAGGACCATTCGGGTTCCCTTCTTTTTTTCGACCATGCACCCTAAGCCGCACGAGGAGGACCAGGTGGAAAAGCCGGAGAAACCGTCGAACAAGCGCGTGAAGCACGACCTTGCTCATGTCATGTGGACGCTGAAGAAGCTGTTGAGCCTGGGCCCCGGGTGCAGAAGCTTTCGACAAAGACAGCGGATTTGACAGAAGGCCACAGCAAGACCTTTTCCACAAATGTGTAGAGAGAGCACATGGACCTTACTGTAAGTTGCAGTTGCTTCAAGTTTTGTTGTCCCCCGTCAGTTCGGAGCTCTCAGGTGCTAGCAAGCGCTTTGTGGTGAACCGCATCTTCCCCTTGCTCCAACAAGATGATGACGAGCACTTCATGGTGCAATGGTCATGCTTCGATGACAAGGCGCAGGGCTTGCAAGTCTTGCTGCCTTCTAGGCTCCGCGCCATCTCTGTTCCATGCTCTTTCGTTGCTTGCTTCAGGCTTCAATGCTCTCTGAATCGACTAAGCTTACGATTAAATACGCCTAAATCATTGCTGAAGGATTCTTATGCATTCGTTTTGTCCTCGTCAGAGAACCACACATTACAATCGGGCATCAACCCCCACCCGAAATGCCACTGCTTCTTACGCCGGCCTCTGATCTTTGAGCAACCCTTGTTCTCATCGGCTGTACTTTGAACATCAACTCATCAACTCATGGCAAGCCTGCTCGCTTAAAAGTTGAGCCGCAATCTGCTCCACTCCCGCGACTTGGTTGGCACTAGCGAAACGCACAATTCATCAGAAATGCACAGAAATGAATTAAATGCCAGGCTTACAAATGTCACCGATGGTTCCTTCAGTCGTTCGATGCGAAGCCTTCAGACTCTGCAAATTTGCCACAAACATGAACGAGCTAAACCTATCCACAGCCACAGGCCCCTATGGCCCTTAAACCCGGTCCGAAATCCTTGCCCTGACCCTAAACTGAAGCCATTTTGCAAGCTGATCCGCCCTAAACCCGGACAGGTGGTCTTCAAGTCGCAGCTCTCCTCGAAACGCCGCAGACCTAATCCCAGCCGCTTGTACGCGTCGAATGAGGTATTCTGACTGCTTTCCCTAGTCACACGATTTTTGCTTGGAGACATTCAAGAATCGCTCTTTCCTCATTTCTTGACTCAAAATGCCGCGAGACAGCATAGGAGTAGGTAGAGACCTCTTTTGCAAAATGACACCTCTCTGCAGAATTCGCTCGCCTGCTGCCTCCCAGGATGCCCGTCCATGTGGCGCTGTTGGAAGCGCCTGCGTGCCGTGATCTTGCGCTTCGGCAGCTCCTACCAAGAGCCTCGACTCAGCTTTGACATAGTTGCAGCACGTGCTATTAAAATTAGCATTTTGGGATGAAAACAAAGTTTGGGAACCGGCTACAGCTACAGCTACATGAGCAGCTAAGGAACGGATGATGGCAGGGGCATTTGAAGGAGCTGGGCTTCCGCCCTCGTGCTGACACTACACTGCTGTAGTACCATTTCCCGTGAATGCCATCGCCTTCGTCGCGATGATTGGGCTTCGTCCTGCTAGATAGTTCTCGGGTTTTCATGTCTTTCATCATGGAAACGCTTCATGTTGCTGCAGTGGTCCATTGAAACGGGCCATGCTCTCATTCTGGCTTGGTTGCTAGCAGATACTAGCATTCATCCGCTTCGCGCAACTTGCGGCCGGCAATCCATGCTTCCGCAGAGGCATGACTCATCATGACTCGAAAGATAGAGAGGGGGTGGGGGGGGGGGTGCCCGTCAAGAAAGATGATGCTCGGTTGGGGACTTCGCAGACAGGCCTTGCATCCCCAAAGATATCCTTTACAGACCAAGAGCGAGAAAAGTGAACAAGCGGCGTTGAAGTTTTTCAAGCGACTTGAACAGATTGATCTTTTCAAGCGGGCTAGTGGCCACCTGCTTTTGTCAAGCGTGCGATGGTTTGGGGGTGTGTTGAGTGACTTTGGTGTAGTCATGTGCAGGTGTGTTAGAGATCTGATCTTTGTCCGACCCTGAAAACCTTCGAAGGCTTCCCTGCGAAGTACAGGTACGGGTCCAAAACGCCGGGAGATGCCGGGAGAAACATCTTGCGATTCAGGCGGCTGAAGGCTTAAGGGGTCAGGAGAGTATTCCAGATTTATTGGACGGGGACATGGCTGAGCTCTACGTCTTTAGCCCCGCCTTCCTAAGTGCCCAAGCTCCGCAGCCAGCTGGGCTGACACCTTCTCGAGCAAGGCTCGTGGCCCTCGATCATGCCAAAAACCAAAAGCATGTGTGTCTTTGTGTGTCCAACCTTTCTTACCCCTCGCGCCGTCTTACGCAGTGAAATCTTGAGCCTTGGATCCGACACTCGAAGCTTGACGCGATCTGGAGCCTTACCGAAAAGGGGTAAAGGGCCCGGGCTCGAACTCTCCTTAAACTTTGGATTCTCCGAGCCCCACTGCCACCACTACTCGTAGACCTGCCTCCACATCCCAGTCGTCAGTCTACAAGTAGGCCGTCTACCGGACAAGAAAGAACCGGGATGTCCCTGACACAGGATTTGTGCAGCTGTGGGTCAGGCAGTTTCAACAGCGAGAGCTTCGAGGAAGCATTCATTGTGTGTGTTCGTAGTCGGTCCTCTGGAACTGCAGGTTACGCAACCGGACTTGTGTTTGATCATGGTTTTGCTGCTGCGCCGTGGATGAGGCTTCCGCCGGTGCAGACGGTTCTGTGTGTGTTGGCTAGCACCAGGGCTGGCGTGCCGGCCGGCGACTAAGCGGGCTCAGCAGACACAGCTGACTCAGCAGACTCAGCTCCGATCATGCGCCTTCTTCCTCTGTGAATTCCGCAAAGGAAAGGACCAAGCCAGAAGCTTTGGCATCCATTTGGATCCGGGAGGCCGCGTTTCCAACCTGGTGCGTATTCGCTTCCTTCTACAGTATCTTAGTGCCGAAAGACCCCATGCCTTATTCCTCGCACTTCCTCGATGAAATACAGCGGCTCTTGCAGATGTCGTTGTTGATAGGTTTGTGCAGGGGCCAGCATCAACTAAATGGCAAACCACAAGTAGCACAGTCTGCCATGATGTTTCTAGCTGGTTCCTGAAACGCCTGTGAGAGGTCGAGCGCTTTTGCGATCTGTCCGACCAATCCGGTCCGCAAGGACACGGGTTTGGAATTACGACTGCTTCTGGCTTTTACATGTGTTTACATATATATATATATATGTAGATATGTATATATATATATATGTGTATGTGTATATCTATATTTCAATGTTTGATCCCGCTTCTCGGTTCGCCGGCCCCTCCCCTCCCTCCCGTAAATCAGAAACCCTCTTCATGCCCGCCCCACCCCTTAGTGTTGATTTTTTTGGGGGGGGTCCCAAATTGGAGAAATTTTGTTCTGGGTTTGGGGGCGGGGGGGGGGGGAGAAATTAGAAAATACAACAACCCCCAACCACACCATGGGGGGGGACCACACCACAGGGGACCGTTGGGCGGGCCGCACCGGCATCATGTTATATATATGTATATAGATAGATAGATAGATAGATAGATAGATAGATAGATAGATAGCGTTGAAGACCGAGTGTAGGTCTGGCAGTGCTTCTGTCTGGTGTTGTGAAATGCGGAGAGCTCCTTTCAGACACTTAAACTTGCAAAGCCTGTCAAGGACACGCGCACTTTGCTCTCGACGAGTTTGGAAGAGCGATACGAAGGCTTGGCATGCTGCCGGCGGCGGATGCAGTCGAACTCGTTCAGGAGGCTTCCGATGTCCAAATGGCTTCCGCAAGACTTGCACCCAAAAAACAAGCGCAAAGCACTAGACAGCATATCAAGCTTCCCGATTGTTTTTGCTGACAGTCGTGTCTTCTCCTTGCGAACACACATACGCGCTAGATCCGACATCTTGTTGTGAGCTACATCGCTGCGAAGCTTGTTCAATCACCAATGGTCCACCGATTGACAACCTGTTTGTCTCTGCAGGTATGCCAGCTCGTGGAACAGACACGGGCATCAAAGACCAGTGATGATGCGGGCGGGGCAAATAGCATTGCGCCCAGCATTGAACATGTGACAGACGGCGATGTCTGTCTTCAAGATCTGGTGGAGCGGTATTTTTAGCTTCGCAGCTCCATGTTGAGAATTGCATGGATGCCGGCGTTCATCGAACCGATCAATGCCCTTCGAGCACTCCTGCGGTAGCGCTGTGGCGCCGGAATCTATAGATATGTTAGAAGCCTCTGCACTCAACTGCAGAGCTAGAGGCGTTTTCGCCAAGAATGGACTGAGCTGCAAAAATGGCGGGCAGATTTAGAATGCAATGAAGGATAACACATGTATGTACAAGTGTGCTGAATGCACATCTACTATTTAGAAACTGTACACGCGTGCAGAGATCGATTTTGTCTTGTTTGTTGAGGGCATATATGGTCACGAGTTTCATTAGTTGTGAATGAGATGGCTTCCCTACATCTGAGGGCCGCATAAACAAAACCGGGAAGCCAAGAGGGATCCCATGGTCCGTGAGCAGTGAGGCTCATTGCAGTCAAGGGACAAAACTCTCACTATATGCCCTGTATCCCTGTTCGGGGAAGAGGTATTGCTTCACATGTGAAGGCTGAGGTAATTCACGAACTCTATCGAAACATGGCAGTTGAAAGTCATCACTTCTTCGCAAAAAAGTATGAGAAGTTTGAGTAGTGAAGGCCTCTAGGCTTTGCTCTTGGATAGTTTTTGCTCTTGGATGCATGTGTGTTACTAGCTTCTAAGGGGTTTTCTTCTAGTCGGGGAAAGTATCAAGGTCATCTTCTCTCGAGATCTTTTGATGTGAAGCATGGGGAATGAAGCCATGGAATTCTTCAATTGTTCTCGTTGGAGTTGAAGCCGTTTTTAGCTCTTTACCAGGGACTTTGTCGAAAAGTGTGTATTGGAGGCATCTACAATCATCTTCTCTTCTCGCTCTCTTCTCGCAGTGTGCTTGTACAAGCATGGGTGTTAAAGGCATCTACAGTCATCTGAAGAAAAGTTCATTTGCGGTTGGGTCTCGAAGGCATCTATCTAGGTAAGGACATCTTCTCTTTTCCTCAGAAATTTCGCAATTTCGCCATCGATGTTACGCGCATCAAGCTCATCTTTTCCTTTTGGTGGGGAGAGTTGTGTTTCGTAGAAACATGGGTCTTTTCTCCAACGGTTATGCGAACAGATGAAGGCATCTAAGGTAATCTTCTCAGTTTTCGGGAAGTTCATCAGAAGCATGGCTGCTGCAAGCATCTAGGGTCATCTTCTCTTTCTCGCGGGAGATTTTGCACAGCACTAAGGTCATGGTATTTCGGTAGACGCATGGAAAGTAAAGCCATGCAGTATATTGCTGGCTCCTAAGCTTATCTTTTTTCGTCCGCGAAATTTTCGAGGCAGAGACTCGAGGCAGAGTATGACAAGCATCAAAGGTCGGCGATGCCTGGCGCGGGCCGATTTGTGTTGTGAGGGTGGGCCCAGTCGACCGCGGTTTGTCCTTAGCGCGCGACACGCGTTTCAAGCCATGAAACAACTCTTTACAGCAGGACAGACCTTCACAGCATGTCACAGCAAGCTCTCCATGTGGCGAGGCGTCCAGCTTCTCCCCGCTGCGGTGCCTTCCGCAGGTCCTTGATCAGAAGCGTGGATGAGACGGTCCAAGCGTGGTCACCAACTTGACAGTGCAGGCACCCAACTTCTCTCTGGAAAGAAGAGGGCCATGGGCCATGGAGTGCCCACTTCCAGAGAATCCAGACTTCAGAGAATCTCTGAGGAGTGCCTAGCCTACAATGCCCAGGCAAGTCGCATACCGTTAAAATCCTCCAAAGTCCTTTGCGTTCGTGCCTGTGAACCGCACAACCCTCTGTTGAGGGCCTCCTCTTCGGAGGGGATCTCTCAAGGGAGGGAGAGGGCAAGGAAATTGGAAGAAGATGGGCAGGACGTGGAAGGACGTGGAGCGAAGGAACGAAGGAAGTGAGAGGTGTTTCGATATACCGCATGCATACAGTAGCGTGCCAGAAGTTCACAAGCAAGGTGCAAGTGTATCATCACTCAGTATTGATGGAGATAGGGTTTGCAAATCTGGGTTTTCTCATTTGCTGCTTTTTTTCTGACTGAATCGCGACGCAGCCTTGATGACCGCTCAAGGCGCGTGCACCCGACACCGCTTGCGCTCAAGTACTGCCGTCCACAAGACAGCCCTAACGCAGCCTAGCACTGATCGCAGAAAGATATGTCGTGTGGCCCCTGACCTCACTGCAGAAATCGGCACGCGGATTCATCTGCAACATGTCTCACAAACCCGCGACACTGACTGTAAGAAAACCATCGCGGCCGATTGGATTTCCATTTTCCCTTGCTCGTGAGCTGGAGCTATGGCACTCCTGCTTCTTCAACCTTTGCATTCAAGTTGACAAGTTGTGGCCCACTAGTATCTTCAGCTCAATGCCGAAGAGCAGGGCGCGTCTGATCTAGAGTCTTGAGAGCTAGTGTCTTTAGGGCCCATCGAAGTCCAAATAAGGCTAGGATCTTCAAGACTTTCAGCAGTTTCAGCAGTGCAGCGCAGCCCAAAACCATCCCTACAAACAAAGTTCAGAAAATAGAAAAGCAAAATTTTACAAACAATGGGTCTATCTGCGACGCATTCGCCCCCACAGCCTTGTGCTGGGTTTCTCGCGCGTTGTTTTTTTTCAGAAAAGAAATGTGTTCTTTAGTGTTTATTGGTTTTCTAATGGTTTTCTATTGTTTTTTATAGGCTTTCTATTGGTTTGTATAGGCTTTCTATTGGTACTTATTGGTTGTCTATTGTTTTTTGGTTGTCTATTGTTTTTTGCTTCTATTGGTTTTCTATTGTTTTTTATTGGTCTTCTATTGATATTTATTGGTTTTCTATCTATTTGTTGTTAATCGATTTATATAGGGTCTGATCGTATAGATCGTACATACAAAGGGTCAAAACAGCTGCATCAACAGCACGTGTGTAAAAAGAAACGTAGTAGAAAAAGGTAGTAGGGATCTTCTGCTCTTTGAAAAGAAAGAGGCCAAGCTTCTAACATTTTTCGTTGTTGCTTGTGGGTATCAGCCCTAAACTCTAACCCCCCAACCCTAAATCCTAGGGTTTAGTCAAGTCTAGGCATTCACTAATCCCATACCATGACAGAAGACATTGACATGGACATGTTTCACACAAACGCGGGCACACACAACCCAGACCCTGCCCTAAACACTCGGCCCTGAACCCTAGGCCCTGAACCTTTTGCCTCACCGTGACCCGAGGACCCGAAACCCTAGGGCATGGGGAGACAGTGGGGGGTGGGGCCCAATCTAAAGGACCTTGCCCGCTTTTTATATGACCTTGTATGACCTTGCCCAAGAGAGGGCGCGGCCATACAAAGAGCGGGCAAAAGCCTGGTCACGCACAGATTGGGTAAGGTCATAAACAGATTGGGCAAGGTCATGGGTCAGCCTACGGACCTTGCTGATTGATTTTATGACCTTGCCGCTCTTTATATGACTTTGCCTAATTCCTGTTTATATGACCTTGCGCTCTCAGTATATATGACTGCGCGCAATGTCATGAACATGGACATTTGAAAAGATGAGAGGTTTAAGGTTAAGGTTTGATAGCACTTGAGTCTTCATGTGAGGATCGAGTCAGCGGAAGCCAATGCCGAAGAGCAGGGCGCGTTTGATCTAGAATTTTTGAGCTAGTATTTAAGAGCCCATCGAAATGCAAATAAGGCTAGGATCGTCAGGACGTCAGCAGTGCAGCATACCCCACCACCATCCCACAAAGAAGATATGCAGATGAGCGGAGTTCTTGTTCAGAAAAAAGAGAAACCAAATTTGAAGCAATGATTCGGCCTCGTGCTGGGTGTGTCGCGCGTTTCTTTTTCAGAAAGAAATGTTCTCCTTAGCGGGGGGGAGGCGTCTCCGGCGGGGGGGCGCAGCCCCCCCTCCGGAGAATCCGGTTTAGCCCTAAACCATAAACCGCCAAACCCTAATCCCTAAATGCAAGAATCTTCAAAACCCTAATCCCAAAACACGAAACACCCTCGAAACCCTAATGCAAAAGAGGAAAACCCCGAAAAAACCCTAATGAAAAACTGGATTTTAGGGTTTAGGGATTTTTAGGGTTTAGGGATTTTTAGGGTTTAGGGATTTTTAGGGTTTAGGGATTTTTAGGGTTTAGGGATTTTTAGGGTTTAGGGATTGTTAGGGTTTAGGGATTGTT